GGCCAAACGTTTTCGAATGGGGCAGAAGTCCCTTGAAGATGATTCAAGAACTGATCGACCAGTGGAGGTCATAACGGAAGATATTGTTGCGATTGTGGAAGAGGCGGTATTGAGTAATCGACGTTTAAAGGTCAGAGAAATCTCAGAAATTACTAAGCTTTTTCATACAAGTGTTCGTTGAATCCTGCATGATCATTTAAGTATGCATAAGGTTAGTGCAAGATGGGTTATTAAAAACCTTTCGTCTATTCAAAAACAACGCCGATTCGAGTATGCGCGGTCTTTTTTGAAATTCTGTGGGTCAGAACCGAAGCCTGTGATAGAAACCATTGTGATGGGAGATGAAACTATGGTTCTTTATATGACCCTCTATCGAAAAATCAATGGAGTGGCGTCGTCAGGGTGAAGCACCTCCAAGAAAATTCTTTGCCAGTCAATAAAAAAGGCGATGACCACGATCTTTTGGGGTTGTGAAGGAATTCTTTTGATAGATTTTAAAGAAATTAATATCACTGTTAATCGTAAATATTACGCAATATTATTACATAAATTGCGAGACTGCATACGTGTCAAACGTCGAGAAAAACTGACCAGAGGCGTGCGTCTTTTGCACGATAATGCACCTGTCCATATTGCTGGTATTGCACAAACTGCCAGTGTACGTTCCAACAGATAAAGGACTTACCTGGACGGCGGTTTAACGACGAAGTTGAGTTAAGAGAGGCTGTTTTAGCTCAAAAGAATATTCTTTTAAAGGGGTTGAGTTGTTAATAAACAGACATAATAAGTGTGTTGAAGTTAAGGGGGATTACATTGAAAAATAATAAAAAATTGTTACTCTACTTTGTTTCTTTCATATTCAGGCCGGGACATTTTGGCGCTGCCCTCGTAAAAGTCGTTAAAGTTTTCTTGAGTAGGGTCCGTCGAAAACCAACACGATGAAGATTGAGCCCGACTATACCGGCTTTAAACTTTTCTGCGGGACTGAAAGACAAGTCATACCCGATTCACGCTACGCCGAGTTTTCCCGGAATTGTGGGACGGCGTTATTATTCCGGCGACCGCCACAAAATATTTTATGCAACGTATGGCGGTGTTGCACACGATGCGGAGGGTCTCAGAGTAGGGCTATTTTGAACCCCCCGTGTGGGGGGGGGGGGGGCGAAGAGCGACCTGAATAGAAAATTGTAGAAACACAACCGGGCGTTTTGTTTTATACCTGCAAGTGGGAGGCCGCGTGAAATATTTAAATTAGACCATTTAACGGGGCGCTGTTTATTCATGTTAGGCTGGTTGCCGTCGTCGAGGCGCGTTATTTGCTCTATTATTTTCGAAACTCGGGGGAAAAGGAATACGGCCGACAATACTGTTTTAAAAGTACGTCAATCACGTCGTGCCGCCGCGTTTTAAGTTAATTTTGTTTTGTTGAAATTTGTACAGGGTGTTATCGAATTAGCGCGTCGTATTCGAATGAACGAATATCGGGCTGCAGAGACAAACGACGAAAATATCCATCGTAATGTTTGCCGCATGGTAGTAGAGAAAAATAGCTCCAAATAAATATTTTCACAGCATATTTTGTTTATTTTTTTTTCATTATTTTAAGGACTCTGCTGAACCACACGGGCTAAATGAAAGTTATTGTTGTTTTGCGATGTAATTTAAAAAATTAAACATAAGAAATAAAGGTAAAAGTATCATGATTTTGCCAAAAAACAGAAGATAAACGTAAACTTTTGATGGAAAACTAATCTACCTTTCATTTTTCAATACCGTGGGAAAAATATATCTTTCTTTAACATTGAACAGAAAGCAGGAAAAATATTGTCAATATTAAGGAAAACTTACTCCAGTCGCGAGTTATATCAGATATCAGTTCCAGTAAAAAAGTGGAAAAATGTATTTTCAAGTAATTCATTTCCAGTTTAAATTTTATTTTATATAATGAATCCAATACCTGGAATAACTATGAAGCCATAAAATGCAAAGGACTAATGGGAGGTTATCAGGGCACCAGTTTTATCGCTTTTTGGAAGCAGGCAACAGGCTATGTCCGTAAAGAAAGCCTTTGGATTATGGCAATTACCCGCATTTGTGTTGTTAATGTAATTTTTACTGTTTGGTGCATATTTTCCTTAGACACAGATTAAAAATGATTAGATATTTGGTGATTCAAAAATAGGTCTTATATTAAATAAAAGGTTCTTCATTATGAAGCTGAGGGTTGAAATTGTACTTAAAAAATATTAATATTTTTTGAATTTATTTTATCACATGGGTGGAGAAACAGTTATTGCCTAATTGCAGCCAAAATGAGATAATTTAGAAAATAAATTTATATTCCTAATCAGGTACAAGTTCTGCGCTTGCCACCTTACCATTCTGAATTGAATCTCATGGAAAAAAATATGGACTACTTTTTATAAAACTTCTGGATTCCTCCTGCGTCGGTTTTTGTTAACTCGAACTAGCTAACGTTTCGCCAATCATCCTGTTGGCTTCTTCAGAGCTTCAGATTCACAAACCAGGATTACCTCTTCGTTCTCCAACATGTTCTTTAGCAAAATATCTAGCTTCCTTACACTTTCACAAATAAAAACAAATAAAAAGCATTACATTAGATCCACAAGATATTCTGGTTAGTTTCGACGTAGAAGTCCTCTTTACTAAAGTTCCTATTCCTAAAACTCTCACCTCCGGAATCATACATTCTCACCTTAAATGAAAAATGCTTGCCTGGAATATAATTTTCTTATAACTGTCAAACTTTTGAACAAACGTAGGGAACAGCTATGGGTTCTTCACTATCACCAGTCATCGCGAATATATTTATGGAAGCCTTTGAGAAGAAAGCTCTCGACACCTTTCATCTAAAACGAAAATTATGGCAACGCTACGTCGATGATACTTTTGTTACTTGGCCTCATGGTCAGGAATCCCTAGTAGATTTTCTTAGAAATTTAAACTCTATACACTCTAACATACGTTTTACCATTGAAATAGAAACTAATAACAACCTCCCATAGAAAATTAGATAAAAATACATCTGTGAAAAAATATCTTTTATTTTCACTATTTATTATTGTATTATTTACTTATTAATTTGATGCTTGTGTTTTTATTTGTATTTAACTTCTGTAACCTTTTTTTAGTACCTTAATATTAAGGAATTAAGTATTAATATTAATATATCAAAAATTAACGCTTCTACCACAACGTACTCTTTATTAAATAATTGGACAGTAAATAACCAAAGGGGGTTCAAAGACAGTTCAGACGAATATAATGGACGGATCCTGGGTTCCATCTTCGGTGGAAAAAAAAAAGTGAGTCATCACGGTTTTTTGAGGTTATGTTCTGAACGCGTCACGTGGGGCCCAGCTGGGCGCGCAGCACAATCTACAAGCATCGTGGCCTGAGTTTTGACGTTATGTTAATATGAACTCTCTTTGTTTGGAAGATTCAATTGTGTTTTGAGGTTATGTGTTGTGGAACCCTCTTTGGTTATCTACTTCGGGCTCTTTCCGTAAAACTCGTATCTACTTCATTTACGGTAAACAAATCATTCCCTTATCACCAAAACGGCAACAAGGCATATGGGTTCCCCGTAATGATTGTTTATTTACGCGAGTTGTGAGTCGCTAGGTATTCCATCTGTAAATTCCATCTCTCGCCATCGTTCTTCCTAAGTAGGAAAGATAAATTCGATTATCTCACCGGGCCGGGGGCAATTAGTCCCCTTTATTTTCATAATGGACAGAAATTAAGTTTGCCTTCTGCGGTATTCTTCTCATTTTCACTACCCCCTCCGCCCCCAACCCAACCGTTGTCATTTCCAAGCCGACCTTTGTCATTTCCGGGAGGCGGTTTTTCGGCGGCTGGAATTAAACGGCGCTTACTTTCTCGTCCCTGCGGGCTGGGCGATGTCATTTGTTCGCGGTCGCATTTGGGAGAGGATCGTTTGGATCGTTTTCATTTTAAAAACGGACTTTCGAAATCAAAAAATGATAGCAGTCGCGACATTGGAACATAATATATAATACGACCAAAAATATAGCGCATTTATTGCTTTGAAGTTTTAAGTCTGTAAAATACCTAATTACTCACCGATCTACCATATCAGTTTCGTTTCCCACGAATTCGTGCCGCATCGAGATGATTTGGTCCGAGTTGAAAGCGCATATAAGAAGAAATAACACTGCACCAAAATTTAGTGATATTACCATACTAGTAATTCGGCAAGAGGTAGCTAAAATAGCAATACAAAACTGTGAAAAACGCGTAATACAAGGAGAAAATATTTTTCGAGAACGATTAGTGGCGGAGTTGATCATTCTAAGTGACTGACACGGATAAGGGTCTGCTCAGTGTTCTGTAAGGGGCTGCGGTTTTTGAGTAATAAACAGTAAGCAAAGTTAATTACAGGCTCGGTTGTAAACGCACTATATTTTTGGTATAATTATACCTAAATATTTAAAGAGAAAAAAAATTGACCTGCAGCAATCGGGTTTGAACCCGAGACCTTCGGTGTCGAATCCGCCGCGCTACGCGCGGATGTATACAACACAAAATTAAATTTATGTTTGAGAATGTATATAAGCTATTTGTTGCTTGCGATTATTGTTTTAACCAGGGACTTAAGAGTTTTGATCTAATAATGATAAATAATTCAACCCAAATTACGGCAAAAAAGTTATAAGGTACTATTTAATTTGAACCAAACACGCTCTATCCCGTTTCTTGCACATCCTGTATGATAGACGAAAACGGTAAATGCAAAAATTGTAGCTTTCGAGGTGACCTAAAAGACCGCTCCGTATATTTGGGTCGTTGCCCCACATCTTGCGCGTCCTCTGGTTTTCGAGAAAATAATTTTTTCTATCCCGGAAAAAAAACGTTAATTTTTTTTAAATTAATTAAAGTGTCAAAAGGTTACGTCTGGAGATGGACGACACACTGTATAAATATTTTACACTAGGAAGCACCCTGTATAATTACAGGCAACGCCGAGGTCTACATTATCTTGGCGCTGCTCATTGGTGTGGTCACTGTCGTCATCGGCTGCTGGTTATCGGACAACTGTTGGTCGCCGGAACCGGATACTGGCGGGGTGTCGTTGGCCTGACCCCTGCCCCACGCCCCTGCGATAGGGGCTCGAGACCCGCGAGACGGGAGCGTCGCGGTAGTGGTCGATTTGTCTTCAGGAGACGACGAAGAGGGATCATCGCCTGGAGGTCGATCTTCAAGTCCGGAGAGCGATTGGCCTCTCGTAGAGGTTAGTTTTTAGATCGCTGTGCTGTGACTCTGGTTGCATTTTCACAAAGAGTTTGAGTATGCCTTTTTAGAGAATTTAAAGTCACTTGCGAATAAATAAAAATTTATTTTATCAAATACACAGATACAAAGTATAAATTTTTATTCTCTAATAAACGTTAAAGGTAGGTTGCTTGTGCGTGATAAAAGTCAAAAAGTTTGAGTTTTAGTGGTGATGAAGTGTAAAATGTCTATAATCGAGAATGTATTGTCAAAGTTGGATTAGTTGATTATAGCAGAATTTAACTCGCTTAAGCGATTTTAAAACTAACTGTAATTGTCTTGACTATTATGGTCTACGAGGTTAGCGCCAAAATTTCCCGGCCTGACATAGATGCAGCTCCAGCATCACGATAAAACTTTGTCTTCTTTTAAATATACATCTTAGTAGGCTGCGGAAAAAAAAATTGAAGTCTCGCGTCAAATAGTTTTTTGTTGACAGCATTTTAAACAAGACGAGTCCGAAAAAATGTCGCAAATAGCTCAAATTGTCATAAAGTTTTTGACAAAAGAAGAGGTAGCACCTAAAATTATTAAAGAAGGGCTGGATGGTGCGACGGCCAAAGTTCTCCTTCGTATTCTGTATTGAAAGAATGGGCAAAACGTTTTCGAATGGGGCAGGAGTCCCTTGAAGATGATTCAAGAACTGCTCTACCAGTGGAGGTCATAACAGAAGATATCGACGTTTAAAGGTCAAGAAAATCTCAGAAATTGCTAAGCTAATCAAGCAGTCCTTTTGATAGATTTTAAAGAAACTAATACCACTGTCAATGGTAAATATTACGCAACATTAATACATACATGGCGAGACTGCATACGTGTAAAACGTCGCACCTGTTCGTACTGCTGGTATTGCACAAGCTGCCATTTTAGAGAGTGGCTTCCAACAGATATATCATCCTCCCTATAGTCCAGATATGGCCCCCAGCGACTATTATTTGTTTGGATATTTGAAACAGGACTTACGTGGACGGCGGTTTATCGACGAAGTTGAGTTGAAAGGGTCTGTTTTAGCTCATTTTGCAGACGAACCAAAAGAATATTTTTTTAAAGGGATTGAGTTGTTAATAAAGAGGTATAATAATAAAAAATTGTTACTCTACTTTGTTTCTTTCATATTCAGGCCGGGAAATTGTGTACACTCTAATAATTTTTTCGAATTTTATAGAATAAAAACAATGCTCTTCAAGAAAAAAATTTGATAATTGTATAATTTAAGGCTTCTGAATGGCTGTGCAATAATAACCTTTGTATAAACACGGACACGTTAAAATTCTATATTTTTGGTAAATGACATAAATTGAGTAAATTAAATTTCGATGTAAACATTTATATTAACAACAAATTAATTCAGGAAAACGAAATTCTTGGTGTTATATTTGACTCAAATTTGACGTTTCATACACAAACCCATTACATAATGAATAATTTTTCTAAAAAGGTTAATTTTATATCTAGAATAGGGAAAAATTTGTTAATTGACACCAAAATCTTACTATATAAGAGCCTAGCTGCTCCCCATATTCATTCTTACAATTCAAGAAATTGTCGTAATTTTATGTTGAGAGAATGTTATTCTAGTCATGTACAAAACTTTATATTACATAAAGGCCTAAACCATTTCAACAATTTACCGCATGATATTAAAAACTCTGATACTCTTAATAAATTTAAGAGACTCTTAAGGCGCCATGTATTGTTCAAATTCTGATTTCTGTGTGCTTAGCTTTTGGTTTCCGTTTATCTGGAATTTTATATTTATAATTTATATTTTGCATTTTTTATGTAGCATCATGCTAAATAAAGATTATATTAATTATTCAGCTCTGAAACGCAATACCAATTCGCAATTGGCAACCAGACTTGTTACTTTCGAAAACCGATGAAATCGAATTTTTCGAAAGTATCTGCGCCCGTATAAAAATTTTATATCTCGGTAACGGTAAGTCCTACGGGTACAGAAATGATCACCGTCGAAAAAAAAAATTTTTTTTGTCTGTCCGTTCTCCGTTCTCGTCTTTTGGTTTTTCCAGAATAACTTTCGAACCGTTGGAGCTACAAAATTGAAATTTGCCTCCTTTTTATAGGTTTATAAGAAATGGCTCTGATCCGACGACGGTATCCGCCTTTTTTTAGCGATTTTCGACTTTTTTTTTGGACATTGCTATGAAACACGATAAGTGTCCGAAATTTGAAGCAATCGACTTCATATTTGGCACATATATGCATATATTGAAAATCGGGGGGGCGGGGGGTCAAAAACTGTTTACGTGGCCAAAAAAATTCTTGAACCCGAAGAAGCAGCAGATACGGCTCTATAAACTTTTATTCTTGACAATTTTTCAAAAATATAGGATTCAGATCTCACTTTCTTTTATATTGCGATATAGCCCGCATAGACGGCAAAAACTTTTGTATTTAAGGTTTTCATCTATTGTACAGGATGTTCCCGATATTCCGTGCTTAATGAGAAATGTGTTAAGTGGCCTAAATTTGCAGATTTGAACTTGAAATTTAGCAGAGAAGTAAAAGTCCGTGTCCATATTTAAACGGAAGAAATTGGGCGCAATGATATTTTACCAAGTATTTTTTTTTAATTTTTGAAAATTTTTTTTTGGTAATTTTAGCTTCCAGAAAAATATGTTTGCCTTCATAACCATTCATCCGATCGGCAAAATTCTTTAGCCGACAAACGCAGAAAATCCAGTGCAATAACATTTATTTCGGTTATATATAGGGTTTGCAAATTATAGGCAAAAATCCAAAGGCCTAGAAAATTGTTCTTTTACGGTGTCATAGGCCGCATCAAGAGCTACAATTTTCGTATTTGCGATATTTGAAAAAATCCATATTGAAATCGTTATTTCGGGGGACTGTCAAGACGCGATGACGTCATTATTTATTACGTCGTATTAAATCTTATTTTCGCGAAAACCATTTACTATTTTCAAAAAATTCTTGAACCAGGACACGTGGAAAATCCGCATAACCTCTACCTCCGACAATGATTGTATCATATACAGGGTGTGTCGTTTATGGACAAAAAATCTAAAATATCCTAAAAATTTCCGTTTTTGTGGGTAAATTATTGGCGATAAATGAAAAACTGTTAACGATGGGATAATTTTATTTGAACAGTATCGTAAACCGTACCGTGAGATACGAACTTGCCCCGCCCAGTGACGATTTTTCGAAAGCAATCTTGTTTCTTTACGTTTACCGACAAACGTCATTGCTATTCCTCTGACAGAAATACATAAATATAAATCAGTAAAATCCTTTATACCGATAGTTATAACATTATTTATCGCATCCGCTTAGGTATCGGAACGAGACAGCCTGAACCCCTGACACCACGCCCTGTGCGAGAAAAATGGCGGCGTAAGGGCTGACCTCAAAGGGGACGCGACCAAACAGGAAGAGTGCGAAGTTCACAAGACGACCATAGTGGAAAACGGCCACGTGTGCCAAATTTTGATGGACGACAAGTGCGAGATCCATGACAACGCCATGTTCGACGGTGCCAACATGGAAAGCTGAGGGTTGGATGGGGAGGGAGCAGCTTTTGAGTTCTTGTAATCATTCCCGCGCGTTCCTTATTTGAAAACGCACTTGTCGCGTGTTTTATCCCAACAAATGGAAACCAGTCAATTATATAGGTATATGAATGTACTAACGTGCGTGGATATAGTGTACCGACCCCTAAGAGTAAGTAGGATCCTTAACTCTTTCCCAATGATGAAATTATAGGCAATTGTGGTTAGACTATACTCATATCAGCCTGCCTTTTCCTAAGCTGTGCCTGTGTCAACCGTTTCACGAGCCATGGTCACCCATGAAAACGTCTTTCTTCTCTGCAATGTTAGATTTCTTGTCGGCTCATCGTCTCTTGTAAATATTTCTATTATTAATTTTTAGAGACACCAGTCACAGTTGTTGTAAATACGCTTAAAGACTGATTTAAATAATAACTCGCACGCGATGTCAGTGGGATGCCGGGAGCAATTATTAATTGTTTTCCCTATAGTCGACCACTGACAGCGGTAAAAGACCTTGCTCTAAAGAAATAAAAAAAAACTTAAAATATTTTTGGATGGATTTGACCGTGTCTGTCAACAGAAAACAAATAAACGATACACTTTATCGTAGACAACTCTGAAGGAAAACTGTTATGAATACCGGCCTAATATAATTTGATTTTCATCCCATACACTAGTTTAGGCTAAACAAAGGTTTTTGTCTAATTGGGCACAGATCAGAATTAGTATTATCCCGACGTCGTAGGCATCCGTCAACGTAAAATTGTGGTCTGTGGTAAAAATAAGTTAAACGACGATGTTGATTTTTATTGAGCCTCCTTCCGGATGCTGCATTTAAATTCCCCTTGTGTGATATTAGTTTTAACCCTTATGGTGCTTGTATTGACTTATATTTGATGTTAAATAAATTTCCCAATTATTGTAAACTATTTATATATATAAAATTAGGCGCGACATCGTACTTTAAAGCATGGCATTGTATAGGGATCAATATTACACTAACGTTTAGTTTAGAGTGATATAAAATGTCAGGTGTAACCAAACCCAATGTAATATTAATTGCAACGATATTTGTACCAAAAATGTATACCTTATCAAACAAAATATATGTATGTAACTAGAACTTGGCTTTGTTTTACTGCCTTCACCTATAATCACTGAAAGATTTGAAAGACTTGGCTCCTGAATGAATGCTGGCGAATGACGTCAGGAAAAGCAACACGAAACGCGATATATACGTTAATCCATTATAAATGTAACGTAACTGAAAGTTGGCTCACTCACTTTGGGCCATATGAATTCCTGGTACTGGCTAGCCACCTAATAAAGAAGATTTTTTGACATCCGACGGAAAAATGTGTCTGTCATTTAGAGCAAACGGAAATATCATTCTTGTGTTTGGCAGTGCTAAGATTTAACAATGCCGATCGAAAATTTAGAAGACCAGGGTTTGGAGAAAAACCCGGATTTGGAACTTGCTCACTACAAATTCCTATTAAGCTTACCTGAATCTAGGAGCGACAAAAATGTTCACTCAAAAATTACGGAAGCCATCAAGAAAGACAGTAAGTTAATTCAAGTTTTGAAAATTTCCGTACATCTGCAGTGGTTATATTTCAGACATGGCTCCTTGGTACGAACTGATTTGCCAAGAAGATGGCTGGAAACTTGACGATAAATTATTGAGCGCTTTAAAAGCAAAAAATGAAGAGGACTTGAAGAAGCTGAATGATGCTATTGAGGATGCAGAGAAAAACCTTGGCGAAATGGAAGTTAGGGAAGCGTATTTACGCAAAGCCGAATACTACAGCCGAATCGGTGACAAAGAAAATGCCGTCAGCACTTTCAGGCAGACCTACGATAAAACTGTGTCGTTAGGGCATCGGCTTGATATAATTTTTCATTTAATCAGGATTGGTTTGTTTTTTATGGATCATGATTTGATAACCAGGAATATAGAGAAGGCCAAAAGGTGGGTCCATGTAATCATTTTACATTTTGTATCAATTTTGTTTCCAGCTTGATTGAGGAAGGAGGTGATTGGGATAGAAGAAACCGCCTCAAAGTGTATCAAGGCGCATATTGTATGTCAGTTAGAGACTTCAAAACTGCCGCCAACTTGTTTTTGGATACCGTCAGTACTTTTACATCTTACGAACTCATGGATTATAAAGCTTTTGTAAGATATACAGTCTACACTTCAATTATCAGTCTTCCCAGAAATCAATTGCGTGATAAGGTAAGTCCAAATTTTGTTGCTGACAGAGAAGTGAACAGATTTCTTTTTATTAGGTGGTTAAGGGCTCTGAAATTTTGGAAGTTTTGCATTCAGAACCGTTTGTAAAGGACTATCTGTTTTCTTTATACCATTGTCAGTATGCAGAGTTTTTCAGCAACTTGGGTAAGAAGGGTCGCAACTGATTTTAAACCACTTTGCAATTTTACCATTACTTACAGCAAAGGTGGAGGAAATTCTCCGGAAAGACTACTTCTTAAATCCGCATTACCGTTATTACATCCGTGAAATGAAAATATTAGCGTACACTCAACTGTTGGAATCTTATCGCAGTCTCACCTTGCAATATATGGCCGAAGCCTTCGGAGTGACCATCGACTTCATTGATGAGTAATTTGGCATTTGTTAAGTCACAATTTGACTATTATGTTTTACGTTTACGTTTTCAGGGAGCTTTCCACTTTTATAGCCACTGGTAGGCTGCATTGCAAAATCGATAGGGTCGGCGGAATCGTCGAAACCAACAGGCCCGACTTGAAGAACGCTCAGTTCAATTCGGTCGTCAAACAGGGGGACCTGTTACTGCAACGGGTCCAAAAATTGTCCAGAGTTATTAACATTTAAATCGTATTTATCTTTTATATAAATTTAGGAGTGTAGACATTTTGAAACGTTGAAAATAAATATTAAGCTCAAGATTGTTTTTCTCAATTGATTTTTGACGACATATTGGTTGTTTTTGTCAACTGACTGTTCCCTCAGTAAGAGCACGGAATTTTCTTAGCTATTCATAAACAGTTGCGCAAGACTACTATAGCCAGTCGTTCGGTGCTGTTGGCCACCTACCAAAACCTAAAAAAAAATTTTTTTTCTCGGCTTAGAAAAAAGGACAAAAACGGGCACCCCCGCTTCCACCGGCGTGGATGACAAAAAACAACGAGGCCGACAACGATTAAACACTTTAAAACCTTTCCAAAATACTTGGCGATATCAAAACTTTTTGAGAATGCGGCACGGAATGTCATCAGCACAGACCACAGCGGCAGAGAACCAACCTGTTATTTTTTAGGGTATGTACTGTTTTAGTATTTTAGACACAAATATAATAGGGAGAGATGAAAAGTAATCTCTGCCGCGTCGCGTTAGTTTGATGCCATTATAATTTTATAGAGGTTTTTGGTTAGTAAAACGCACTGGTTGAATTTGCTACCAACAATTTGACACCATATATTTCGTAAATTTTACATATTTATGATATATCTCTCGGATTTTTCTCAATAACATATTTTTGTTTTATACTCTTAAATAATTATGTATACATCTTTTTCGTTTGCCCGATATACAATATATAGTTTATATATTTATAATAAACGTTTAAAATTCTAATACACACATCATAAAATATATGACAACAAAATTTTTCATCTTCGCTAACTAAAAAAAAAACTCGTCGTCCGAAGTTTTTTTTCTACTATATATCACAATTTGTTTGGAACTCGCTTGTTTTTGTTTTAACACATATGTATAGATCGTAGAGAGTGTGACGTACCAAATTAACAATACGTGATTCGTCCAAGTGTATAGTTCTCATTGTGAATTATTGGTACGCTCGGATCCCTCATTTCATAATTTGAGCTTCGATATAATGAGTATTTACAAAATACCCCGCGCACTCTACCTCAGGTAACATTTTGCCCACTAATAAACTGCCGTTTACAAATTACACTACAATTAATCTAGAAATGCAAAAATAGTGCCATATAAACGCGCATATATACATTTATAGGTTTATAGGCGTTACTTTTCCTAATAATCTCTTTACTAACTGCGATATCTAATGGAAAAATAAAATATAAAACACGGATTCAACAAAGAAAAAATAAATATTCCCTAGCGCGAAATTATTTAACGTACACGTAAGTACATATACATTCTTCTTAACAAAAAATGGGACTAAACAAATTATCACCGCGAGTGATTCTTATAGTGTTAATATTTTTCAGACTTGACGTCGTAATTCGGCAAGAGACACCTAATTCCTGCCACAAAATATACACTGTATACGATATGACTTAAACCTGGTTCATGTTATTGTACACGTAAAAGCGACCGTCGTCTAAACTTTCGTTTCGCAAAAGCATATTATAAGGAAGCACATTAAATCACAACACAATCAACAAGATTTGCTAAACCCCGTGGTTCCCTGCCGTAATACGTCACGACACCTGGCCGAATCATCTTAACAACGTGGGCCAATAGATTGTAAGAAGAGCCGCAAGGCTCCATGGACCACGGATTAAGACATAGTGGTCTGCGGTATTTCGCAGAAAATAACAGCGACAAAGCTGGTGTCGTGTCGAATTTCAACAGGGACGATACGGCCCGCTCGCTAGGCCCCGTTTAAGGCCCCGTTACGGAATCATACCCTGTAAAAAGCGGGCGGCGATATACAATATATAAATATAATCCGGAAATATAATATATAGTGTGTAAACAACACGCAGCGCGGTTCACATTATAGTCCTAACCTAAGCGAAAATGGAATGGTTTCACATTTCAAAAATGGAACGTTGCAATCAAGTAATACTCGTTTTGGTTTTTCCGTTATTACGTAAGTTTTCAAACGCGTAGAGTTTGAAATTGACTTGGAACCGGGTCCTGACGTTTAATTGACTAGCCAGCGGCACCCGTGCACGTGAGTTCCGGCTTTCCAGTTGAGCTGGAAACTAGGCCCGTTTAGCGGGTGCTTTCGACCCGCGCCGGTTCCAGGTTCTGTTGGTACACGCTGTTGTTGTTGGGTTCGCGGTTTGCCGCCTCCTCGCCCGTCTCCAGCTCGATGTTGCTGTCGCTTTCCACGTCTTGGAACCTGCCGGCAAACGCACGTTCAAAATTCACGAAGCATTTATATACAGTCGAAACTCTATATAGCGAAATTGAAGAAACTGCTTTTTTTTTCATTATTAAGAGGTATAGGCACTTGAAAAATAACAATTCGCATATGTGTTCTGTAATATTTAATTATTTTATATACATATCTAACATCTACTTAGGAACATTTAACATGTGGAAATTGGTTAGTTGCTGGTCTCTTGAATACATTACCACAAACCATCTGGTCTGTGACGCTTTGACGTTTGATGTTGACTGTAAACCTTAAAAACAGTATACTGTGCAACAAGTTTTGCACGCTTGATCAGTGTCCCAGCTTCATCACTATATATATGACTATAATACCTTGAAACGTTGTCCGCAGATTTTCGCCTCTGACGGTATTATGACGTTTGTCAGTTGTCATGGTTACGTCGCACTGACTTAGTGAATACTGTATAACGTATGTTATATATTAAACGGCATAATCTGAAATGCTGTTTGCTTAATAAGAAAAAAATTCGTTCAATAAATTTCCATTCGTTTCGATTTGTTGCGTTTTTTTTTATTTGCCACTTGTTATTGACTATTGAACGCAAATAATGGCATTCAAACCAGTTTGTCCTGTTTGCGAAAGGTGCGTCCCGCGCAATAACGGCCTCTTAATTTTATTTGCCTATTAACACCCCGGGATAAGTTTTATGATCAATAAAAACAATTATCGCCGGTAATAGAACCAATAAACTATTAATACGAGACCATCGTTGGTCGGATTCGTTATCGTTTCCGTAAGAAAAACGAAAAACAATCGAAATCGTTGCGTATTATCAATTATCTAAATTTTATTATTGACGGTACTGTATCTAGAGGGAGATTACGAGATACTGACGTGAGTGGGCGCACTTGATCGATGATGTCGATGCCTTCCAAAAATATGAACTATTAACACCCAAAAAAGGGCCATTTTTAACAGGCTAGCTAGTTACTTTAGTACCTAATAAGAATTAAATAGAATTAAATAAAAACCATTATTATTAAAAAACCGCCCGTGTGATGAGCAACCCCGATAAAGTTGCTTTGCTTCGTAAGATTGAATTTTCAACCTAACATAATAAATGAAATTTTTTGCGCAAACATTGCCTCAAACGCCGTTTACCGCACATCTAGACATTTATTTTAATATCCTCCGAAGGTCAAAAAATAATAGTAGCAGCGCACTCGAAGATTTGACAAAACCAAAATTTGATGAAACTTACGACTGAAACTATATTTCACTAATAATACACCACTTTGTATAAACTCTAGAATAACATTTAACTAAAAAATAATTTTACTTGATAAAAGACCAGCTGACGTATCTCAAATGACAAAGCAATGACGACAATAAAACATGGCGGTTTATTGTAATAAAGGAAACTTGATCGAAAAGAAACAGATCATTGTTTAGTTCTGCATTGTTACAAATAAGTAAATTTTCCATTTTTTCTTTGTTATGTTGGTCCACGTGCCCCCAATATGTTTTCACAGTTTAAGCCAGTTTGCACGTTGTCCTCAAAACTCAAACCCATGAAAGAAAGGAGGTTTGGTTCGATTGAGAAGATAAAGAGAAAAACGCTGGAAGAACTCAAGGCTATACCAGATAGTGCTTACCAGAAGTGCTTAGGGGATTGAAAGAGACGTTGGCACAAGTTGAAGTGGACAAAATTAATTTGGATTAATAAATAAATACTTTTTGATGAAACTAATGTCACCTTACTTTTTGAACATACCTCGTATTACCTACAAAACAATCTGGGTTTAGAAGAGAGTTTAGTAAGAGTGCTTTTATTGATATTACTGAATTACAGAACTAGCACCCTGATTTTATTAGACTTTAGCAAAGCTTTTGGCATGATCAGTAATAAATTTTCAGATAGATGTACCACAAGGTACCATCTTGAGTCCCTTCTTGTATATAATTTAACTGTTTAACTTTTAAGGGTTTTAAAATATTGTAATTAGCACCTATATGCTGATGACACTGAAATGTATTTTTCTCTACAAAATCATGAAATGACGCAGTCTGTATTACATTTCTTACACAAAATTTTGTCGAGACTCTCCGTTCCATTTATATATATATATATATATATATATATATATATATATATATATATATATATATATATATATATATATATATATATATATATATATATATATATATATATATATATATATATATATATATATATATATATATATATATATATATATATATATATATATATATATATATATATATATATATATATATATATATATATGTATATACAGTGGGGTTCCTACAGCTTCTGCCGCATCCCACATTTCGACAGCCATTTATCTTTATTCCTCCACTCATCTTATTTAATTGCTCTGTCCTTCATTACATTTCTTATACCATCCATGAGGTCATAGGTCTTCCTTTTTTCTTTCTGTTTTTGGGGGTATATTTTAGTGCTCTTTTTGGCCATCTCTCACCCTTCATTCTCTGTACGTTCCCATGCCATATAAGTTGTCTAGTTTCTATTCGGTCAGTGCTGGTATGCATTCTCCCTGTTCTTCTTCGTATTTCTTCATTCCTGACGTGTTCTACTCTCGACACTTGGCATGCTCTTCCCAAGAAATCCATATCGTTGGACCACAGCAAGGAATTAAGCGCTTCAGTTGCTCTTCTTCCCTGCTGAGCTCTGTTTTGAATGTCTGTTTTTGAATTACCTTCTTCCGTTATGACGCTTCGCAAGTATTGAACTGAGGTGGCTTTTACTTAATGAAAATCCATTTATCAAAATAAATAAGAACTAAAAGTTCAGATTTTCACGAAATTATATGTTATGACATGACAATTGTTTCGACAACACCGTGTGTCTTAATCAAATGTGACATTTGTCGAAACAATTGTCATGTCATAATATATAATTTCGTGAAAATCTGAACTTTTAGTTCTTATTTATTTTTTTGCTTCCCAAGTACTTATAATTTGTAGCTCTTTTTATTTTTCTAATATATAGTTCAGGATCTTCATCTTCGTGTTTTCCCCCTATTTTCATATATTCAGTATTCTGCATATTCATATTCAGTCCCCAATTCTCATAGTGTTCTTTCAGTTTTCTCAGCATGTAATCTGCGTCGTCTTCATCACAAGCTATAATCACTTGATCGACTGCAAATATTTGTCATCTAAATCTATCCCCATATTTGCTATTTTTTCTCTGCACTCTCTTAGGGCTTCCTGAATATATATTTTGAATAGAATAGGGGACATGCTACAGCCTTGTTTTAATCCTTTGTTAAATAAACTTAAACTAAGTAGTATACCCAACTAAAGAATATTAAGCACAATTTTACCTGAATTTAAATTCCGAAATTTTAGGTAATAATCTTTTTGCATTGTTTGTTAATGACCACCCTTGGATAATCAAATTCAAAAGCAATTGGTCACTTTCTTATATCTATGAACAATATACGGATAGTTTTCGACTGTAGCTATTTTTCGTTACACATATATTAAAACTGTTAATAACCGGAGTCTTTTTTAAATTGACTTTCAGTCTCCTTGTTTGCCACAGTTATTAAAATGTATAACGTATTCTCCGAAACCGTATTTTCGCAAAGAAGCGTACTATTTTAACTGTGCCTTTCGAAGGTCTGTGATTTCGAACGCGTTAAGAGCCATTAACTTACGTATAATGCTTTTCTTCTCCCCTCATCTCGCAGATGACGTTCGTCAGCGCCATGATGTAATTCTTCGCCAACGTCAGCGTCTCTATCTTGCTCAGCTTCCGTTCCATTTTTATGTGCGGTATCACCTCCCTAAGTTGCTGAAAAAAGACGACACCGTTACAACGTTGCCGGATGTAGCCGGCTGGCGACGACAATCGAAGCGTTTACCACGGATATAGTAGCAAGTTATCGAATGTTCAAATTGTCAAAAATCCCGAACGGCGTTCGGGTTCGGGTGGGGGACCGACAGCTGAGACGTATACGTGATCGAGTGACAGAATGTTCTAACCTAAACCAGCGATGTTTGTAGAGATATCAAATTTGAAACTTATTTAAAATGATTTATCTTACTAAGTTAACATTTTATTGTTTTTCTTTTTTTAAACAGGAATTCAGTTAATTGTGGGTAGTAAATTCATAGGGTAATGCAGAACAGGAACAGAACCCCGTAACAAATAGTTTTTCATGCACAGAAACAAAATATCAAGCATCACGAAACGTTGAAAAAAATGGTGTATTCATCTTAAGGAAGGGACAACATAATCAGAGAGAAGGAGACCGAAAGATTATATCCAGTAGACTTGCGCCAAGGTAAAGAAGTTATTAGTATTAAAAATATTTGTAGAAATGTGTAGAAACTATATAAGTATTAATAAATTTCAATTGTGTTAATGTAATTTTCGAAATGCCTTACTTCCCAAGAATCGTAAACCTAATAGGATTGCCAATCCCATAAGACTTATGTTCGCCAAAATTATCGATCGCACGTGGTCGCTTGTGACGTAAGCGAATTCCTCTAACGGTTTTTGTGTATTCTGTCAATGCATTTGAAGGCGTATTAAACCGTTGTATTTTTTGTGTTCTTTGAACAATTAAAATAATTTAAACTAATGAGTAGTTCGCTTATATTTGTGTTAATTGTATTTCTGTAAAAAAAAAACTTGGACGAAACAGTGTTTTTAAGCTTCAACATATACCTTAAAATTGTATGTGCTTGAGTGGCGAGAACTGAGAAAAACAGTATTTTTAACCTTAAACAAAGACTTAAAAGTTTAGTGTTCGTGTTGTTTATTAGATAAAAGCTATGTCTGCTCAGTTCATTTTACTGGAAATGATTTTTTTTTATTTATTATTATTATTTACTCAGAAGCCACCAACGGAAGCAGGATTATCTAGATCAAAAAGACTTCATTCCAAAAATGCCAAAAAAGAAGCTCAGCAGGTATTGTCTGAGCTTTTAGCAACAACATCGAATGCCTCAAGTGAAATTCTAGAGAAAACTCCATCTCCAGAACCCATGCCATAACCACGACCAGAACCCATTGGCCTTAGGGCCCAGAAGATTTGTATATAGTATTACAGTACCCGTGGAAGTTTCTTCGAAAAATTCTATACAGAGTGGTCCATGGGGTAAGTAAGTTTTAGATTCTAGATGGAGAAAGTCAAAAATACTTAAGTAAGGTGCTTGTTTATACGATGATGAAGTTTTCATTCATAAAATGTCGATAAATTTGATTTGATAGATGTCAACTTTTACCTTCCCCGGTGGCTGTAATAAATAGGGGCGATAATGACGACAAAATATTGAAAAGATACTAACGGGTCAATAAAAAATATTCTTTTGAATGCGGGTTGCAGCACCCATCCATAAAATTAACCTATATTTTTTTGGAAACAATAATTGGCCGTGTGCACAAGCACCCTTTTCTTAATTCGTATTCGGATTATATATATCTAGCCTCGACTGCCAAATTAAGAAGTCTGCCATTTGGCAGTCTCCTACATCGAGATCCCTCGCGAGACGAGGCTCGCCGAGACTTTCCGAAACGGGACCGAGCGCCGTTCGGGATTTGTGGTGTTCCCTTACCTCGAACGCGTCATTCAGCGAGTGCATTCTCATTCTTTCTCTCTCGTTGCTTTCCAGTCTTCGTAAGTTTCTCTCTCGCGCGCTGATACACGTCTTCCGTCGCCTGATCGTCGTGCCGCTGGACGCGCTGCCGCTCGACGCGCTACCTACAAAACCGAAATATTACGTCATCACCACAGATAACAGGCGTTAGTTGGTTTCGAGGACGGCGAGGCGGCAACGTCGCAATTCGCACCGCGTCCGAGGTTGCGGTCTAAAAATAAACGTGGCGTCGGACTGTTCAATCGAATTAACCCGGCGACGCTGTTTTTCCCCGATTTCGTTTGTTCAAAGACCGGAAAGGACGTTACGGAGCCCGATGAATATTGATGCCAAATTAACTGCTACGGTTCTCGTATATTTTTGCATACGCCAGACGTTGATTCGGAGTAATTACGACTGCTGTTGTTTTCGCGACGTCTTGGTTCAGTACGGTTGTGGTATTAATTTTATTCCATTTCTGAACAGCGCCATCTAACGTGCCCACGTTTAGACGTTTATTGCATTCTTCTTTTTGTTAGTTTTACGGTTTAACGCCAGATGGGAGGCGACGGAGGACTTTTCGATCCTTCCGTGCAAAACTAATACGCGAATTCTCAAAAACACACAGGGAGAATCCTAAACGCCAGCCTCCTAACTTTATACAATGAAAAATCCCCAGGGGTGGGGCTCTGTAATTCATTTAATGTGAAGAAGTAGAGATTATTTCGTTTGTTTTGAGCGTCGATTATTTTAGAGGTTTATTCGAATGGTCAAAATTAAGAAAGACACGATGATTTGTTTTCAGAATTACTGAAGAGGTTGGAGTCAAAATAATTTTTAAAATTTGAAAGTGTCTGCATATACTATTATGTAATGGTTTTGTGTTATGTAAAACTAAAATTAGTTCCTTCCTGTTCCTGCAATATTGTAGTTTTATTTTCTGTGTTAATATTTGTTTTTTAAAAATAGTTTCCTTGTGATGTTTTTTTTGTGGGCAATTAAAAAAAACAAATAAAAATGCCGCAACGTATGAGTTCAGATTATTTTATTGTTGAAAATATCTATTAACAATTTCTGGTCGTAAAACCGCAGATGCAAAAATAATTATGCCAACTTTCTCAGGAGTATAAACTATGCCCGAGTTTTAAAAACACCAATGCATCTTTCCACGGTACTTCGGGTTTGCCACAAGTCATGACCCAAGCTTGTAATGCATATCCTGAATCCCCTAGCAAACAAATATAATTAAAATATACCTCGAAATAAATTGGTTGGCATAAAGATAAAGTAAGTGCTGAAGAGTGCAACTTTTTTATCATATTCATCCAAAAACAATGATTGATATATCACATACTATACATGGCGAAGAGCAGAAAATAAAAATATGTATATGCAAAAATATACAGGGTGCGTCGGTAATTTGCAAAAAACTGAACATTGGTCTCCTTTTGTAATGATGATTGACCATAACAAGAAGGCTGTGATTCCGTTTCCAGTTTTTTTTTACATAGCTATATAGCCATTATGGACAGTTAAAACTTTTGTATTTAAAGTTTTCACATACTGTACAGGGTGATCGGGATATTCCGTACTATATTCGAAAACGTCATAAGTGACCCAAATATGTAGCTATCGATTTTAAATTTGGCAGGGAATTAAAAGTCCATACCCACATCTAAACAGTAGAATTTGATCGTAATCAAGTATCACCAAATATTTTTTTAAAAATTTTGAAAAATTTTCTTTGAATATTTTGGCTTCCAGAAAAACATGATTTTCTCAAAAACTATTCAATCAGAAAAATTGTAGAACCAGGAAATGCTGGAGATCGGGGGCTCTGATTTTTATTTCAGACATATTTCCGCATTTCTTTCAGTTGCCTTCCCTCTGACGTTACACCGTAAAACTAACAAAAAGGAGAATGCAATATGGATTTAAACGTACGCACGTTAAACATAAATATAAAATCAATACCGCAACAGTACTTACAGGCGCGTTCCTATAAACAAGTGGCGATGAACAAAAATAATAAAAAACGTTAAATCGTCTTTGCGAGTTAATAGCTTTGCATAGATCATACTCTTTGAATACTGATAGAAAGTTACGAGATTGTATACAACTATTAACAAATACTCTTTACCACAACCTTGCAAAGACAACGAGTTGTGCTTCTTTACATTAAAAACAGCATTAGTTGACCAGATATCAAAAGTTCTTAAGATATATTACGTCAAAATCAGATTTACCACCATCCCAAAAAATCTCTCAACATCTACGATCCGTCAAAGACAAAATTCCGTTTGAGATTCCAAGAGTTAATATCAGTCGATAAAACTAAAATTCTTGCATGCAATCAAATCTTGTACCAACGAAAAATCAGGGAAAAAGTAAGGTGACTTTGGTAATTCGATCTTCCATATTTTTTGTTTGTTTTGTTGGTACACATATCCTTAACATTTTTACTTTATATAAAACTTTTGGATTCTTCCAGCGTCGGTTTTTGTTGACTCGAACTAGCTTACGTTTCGCCAATCATCCTGATGAGTTCTTCAGTGCTCGACTGAAACTAGCTCGTATTTTACTTTGTACCTGCTTATATACTGTTTGAGGGGGGCGCTAATGAGGAGTATAAACACCGTCTCGGATGACTGATTCCCATATTGGTGACAGGTAGAGAGTTAAGATTGTTAGGTTACTTATAGATTTCTATAGATTCTTGGATTTTTCCAACAGCTGATGAGTTTATTTGTCTTAGTCGTGTTCTTTGAGCCTAGTTGATATTTTTCGTCTGTACTCTTTGCCGCATAGGATGGAATTTTGTCTTTGACGGATCAAAGATGTTGAGAGATTTTTGGAGAAGTGGTAAATCTGGTTTTGACATTATATTTCTTTAGAACTCTTGATATGTGGTCAGTGATGATTTGAATATAAGGAAGGACAACAGTGGCAAGTGTGGGCTTGCTTTCGGTTTCATTCCTATTGGAAGGTTGTGGTGTTGGTGTATTTTGTGATAGAACGCTTAATATCTTTAATGTGGTAAGGTCTTTAATTCTGGATGTGATGTGATAATGCATTAAGGTATCGGTCTGGGTGCGTAGGTTTTCTGTAAACACAATGACCCGACGTTAGGTCTGATTTTATATTGATAAGAATGGTGCTGATAATAGGCCTGGTTAGTTTAGTTTTGGGAGTCCGTGGAGATGAGGAATTTTAGAGTCAGTACCCGGTCGTTTGCGAGAACCAAAATCGAAGAAAACAATTCATGGATTTTGTATTACAACATTTTGGCCAAAAACAAAACCACAATCATGCCTCAGCCACCATATTAACCGACTTTTTCCTGTTCCCAAAACTCGAGAAACTCATGAAAGGAAAGAGGTTTTGAACGATTAAGGAGATAAAGAAAAACTCGCTGGAAGAACAAAATGCTATACCAGAAAGTGCTTTGAGGATTGGGAAAAAAAACGTTGGTACACTTTGAAGGGGACAACAGTAATTTTGATTAACAAATCGATACTTTTTGATAAAACTCGAAAGTTACACTACTTTTTGAACAGACCTTGTATAAGCAGGTGCAGGCTGGAATGCGTGCGGAGGAGTACAGAAGTTTTGTTAATAGTATTACAGTAGCCTGTAAAACCAAATTAAGGAAAAATCCCGTTTTAACTAAATTTTAGTTGCATGTGAACAATATATTAAAACTACACAGGCTTATTTCAGAAACCGTGTACATTAGAAATAATACTTTTATGTATTTTCCACGTGTAAAGCTAGAGGAATTCTGACGTAGAACTGTTTAATACTTATTACCTTCGCAACTAGTAGTAATATCGCTCTTAGTTTATCGCTACTTTTATATCCGCGGACCATAAAATTGTTCCAAATAATCCTGATACGATACGCCGGTTTGATACTAGACATGCACATGTGCAACATAATCTCTTAGCCCTAGAGTTTGTTGATCTTTCTGTGTCTTTTTCTCCGTGGAAGGATGAGCGTGTATATAAAGTTACATCATAGCGTGACGGGAATTTTGTTTGTCAATTGTTGGATTAAAAAGGTTGAAATTTTGTTGAAAAATAATTGATGGAACAACCATGCGTTGCTCATAAACGACTGACATTTTTGAGAGAATACGTGGACAACCAGAATGATGCCCTTTCATTCAATCCAGTGTTTTTGGACTGAACTAAGTTTCCACAATCTCATTATAACAAAATAATCATATTTCCCCAAGTACATGGCATTTTTTTTTGCGAATGGCCCTGTTTCTAGTAGGTTCTACCATTTATAGCACTAACGCACACGTCCTTTAAACTGACGAATTGATTAAAATCCGAACGCATCTCAAAATGGTAGACATACGGATTATTTTTGATTTACTATACTGCTGAAGTATACATGCCTTCTAGGATTACAGTGAAAACTCCCTATAGCGAAACTCTGTATAATGTAAAACTTTGTATTACGAATAAAATTTGTTGTACTATTAGGTCTTCATACAAAGTTATGTATTAATCCACTCAGTATAACGAATTTCTCACTCTTTATACCGAAAGAAAAAAGGGCACATCAAGTAATGTAGGCCGACTTGTAATTAATAGAGTCTCTTACCTTCTCAGAATTCCTTACCCTAATATTCTAATCACCGAGAACCGAGTGTTTTTCTCGTAATAAGCGATTACGTTAATGCCTTGATCGGTATGTATAAAAGCACACCATTGTTTCAATCCGTTCTAATTTGACTTAGTGAATATGGCGAGCATGGCGAATATGCGAAAAATTTTATCTCTAGATCATAAAGTTGCTTTAATTCGGAAGATAGAACGATACGGACTCACACCGTCGACTGTATCCACGATTTGGAAGTGCAGTTCTAGTAAAAAACTAAGAAAGCCAAAATTTGAAGATTTAGATCGGGCAATGTTGCAGTGGTTGCCACAGCAATATAAAATGTATATAAAATAATTAAATATCACAGAACACATAGGCGTATTGTTATTTTTCAAGTAGTCCCTTCAATTTCGCTATATAGTGTTTCGACTGTATTAATTTTATTTTTGTATACCTTTTCGTGTTGACTTTAACGTACCTAACAAATTCCAACTAATATCCACGCTGCCGATGGACTTGAGTTATACAAAATAGAGAAACAAAGAAAAATGATCAATTCTGGTACATTTAGGCATACTGATCTGAATTTATAAATTCTCTAAGTGACTCTAATGAATACCATTCCTTTGAAAAATAGGGAATAATTAACAAACAAATTTTTGTCTTTGGATTAAGTGGACCCAGGTACGTAACGTAATAGGAACGCCAGAGGCTTGCTAAAGCAACCGCAAGGTTAGTTAGTGAACATCAACTTCGCTAATTAAGAAGTTCCGCGTGCTCCTTTGCCCGGCCCCCGTTTTATACAATTACCCCAATCGTATGGTTCGAAAGAACCCGATCACAGACCAGAGTAAACAATAATTAAACGACACGGGAGACAGAAGCGTTTCGTCTAAAAATAAACCGGCCCCTTTGCGTCGCGGGGACGGGTTTTAAACCGAAATAAACCCGAGCGGACACTATCCGATAAAGACGCATACAGATTACCTCTTCGAAGGCCGTTAAAACAACGTTGGATCGTTTAAAATATAATATTATATAATAATTAGTGGTCTGTGTTATCCCGTTTGCCTCGGGGTAATCTGTGGTAATGGGCGAATAGCCACAGTAATTTCGCCCAATTTCATGCGAGACGTAAATAAGAAGAAGTAATCTGTGGCATGTAGCGGCTTGGCGAGTTTACCTCCGTGTTTCCGCCTCTTTTTGCCGGTTGCCTCGTCGCTGCTCGATTCCGAGAGGTCGTCCCTTCCGTTGAGGTCGTGCTTTCCGATTTCCATGTCTTCCACCTCGACGTCTTCCTCTTCATCTTGCCAGGGAGCCGTCATCTCGACCGATCTCATTATATTACGACTCCGATCTGCAACAGAACAAGGATAAGGATATTATTGAGTTGATTTGTTACTTTTCGTTTGTACGAAACATTAAAGTGTAACATTGATGGTTTTGCTCAAAAGACAATCAAACGACTTACAAAACAGAATGTTGTAGAGAAGGGAAGCTGTCTGATATAAATACTGTAACTAATGTATAAGACGAGTATTACAAGCAAATTTATACATGACATAAAAAGAAGCACCTTCGATTTGAAGAGAAAACATAGATTTGAATGCTCTCAAATGCGTGTCAAATTCTTTCAGGCGTTTTTAGATGTTTTTGTTGATAGGTTTTTCGGACTTCTAAGGAGAAAATTGCAATAGTATGTGGCTGTGTAATTAAGGGACCTTTTATGCAACGCGTTACTGAGTTTTGGTTTCCATAACTTCTCCATTAATGTGTAGTAACTATGTGTGTCTAATGTGAATCGTCAAATGGAATTTTTGTCTATGACGGTTCGAAGATGAGAGATTTTTGGACAAGTGGTAAATCTGGTTTTGATACATTTGATATATAGTCAGTGATGTGTTGAATGTAAGGATGGATAACAGTGGCAGGTGTGGGATTGCTTTGGGTTGTGATGAAGCGCATTTTGTGATGTAGCGCTCTATATCTTTCATGTGGAAATTATTGGACAGAAGAGCAGATGTAAGGGGTTTCAATTCAATGCATTAAGGAATCGGTCTGTGTGCGTAGGTTTGCTGTAAACACAATGACCCAATGTCAAGTCTAATTTTCTTAGGTAGTCTTACCAATATAAAAGAAAGAGTAACGAAATCATGTTGCAGATTCGAGATTCTGTCTTCTTGCTTCAAGAAATTCGTTTATACATTTTAGGGAAACAACTATTTATTGTTATAAATCGATAATTCAGCACCTTTTCGACATCGGAATCATTATAAGATTTTTCAAAGCCAAGGGGAATTGACTAAATAAAACAAACGTTGTCGTCGTCACTTTAATAAGTATTTCGTGTTTTTCAGTTAATGAATTAAGACAGTTTGGTCTGTTCATAGATATAAGAAAGTGGATTGGAATGGGATTACCCAAGGGTGGTCATTAACATACAATGCAACAAGATTATTACCTAAAGTTTCGGAATTTAAATTCAGGTAGAATTGTGGTCCGTAATAGAAAATAATTTAATACCTACCTGTGTTTAATATTCTTTGGTTTGGTATACTACTTAGTTTAAGTTTATTAGTAATCATTCTCATTTCGTGTGTGGAGATATAAAGCCCCACAGAGCATAGTTAATTCATATTTCATGGCGGAAAATTCCAAAACTTCCTCAAGCTGATTTTAAAATAAATCAAAATTTCAATGCAAATGAATAATACACAAAAACAGTTTAAACAGTGTAATTTTGTAGGGCTACGCCAGATTGGACTCCTGTCAACCAATGCTGCGTAAAGCACAAAAAGGTCGGTTCGTGTTCTTGTGTAAAATTGCCATTTATATTTAATTTATTATGTTGTAAACTTAAATGGAAAAGTTATCTTCATTAAACATTGAGGTTTGGTTGCCAGATAAAACTTGCGTAAGACCAGTCATGATATAAGCAATGCAAACTAAATGAAGAAAAAAAGGGACATGTGTAATATTCAAGATGTAGTAAAATGGGCAAGAAGTCGCAGAACAGAATGGAGAGAATGTGAAACAAACGATTTGCAAAAATTTCAAAGGAAAAGAAACCAGACAAGCTCGACCTCCTGGACGACCACCTATAAGATGATATCCAAGCTGGTCCTCAGCATCTCCTGCAAACCCTTGATGAAAACACACTCACCAGTCCTAACGTAAGAAGAAGAAGAAAAGAAGACGACAAAGGAACTCAACCTAATTAATCTCAACCGGTAACGAGCTGATATTAATTAGATATAACGCCGTTGTTAAGAACAATATTTAAAAATACAAAAAAAAAACGTTTATAATTTTAATTTTTTAACTGTGACGTCGTTTTGCATTTCGGTCGTTATACTTCCTGGTAGACGCAACTCGGGCAGGCGGATTAAAAAGCGTGAAAGCATTCGGTTTTCGTTCGTAGTTCGCTTTATTGCGGAACGAATATTTCACTTAGAAAGTGATCGGGTCGAAATTTTAATCGAACGGACGAGAAACGAGCAGACGTGCGGGTGTTGCGACACCGCGAGCAAGATCCGCGAAAAGATTCGAAGCTCTCAAGTCCAGACGTCCTTGATCGAGCGTGGTGCGTAATAGATTTTGGGCACAAAATTCGCTATCTCAAAACCTAATTGACTACTCAAAATTCGTTATATTTCCGCACCCACCTACAAGGTTAATTTTGAAAGAAAAAAACAGTTTAAATACAAAAGTTTGAAGATTTCTGCTCTAGTATCTTATGCAAATGTCAGAAAAAACAAAGGAATTTTTCAAAGAAACTTCCACATACTTGTTATAAAACTCGAATTTGCTAACGTTTCAGACCTTGACTGAAACTGGCTCGCATTTTACTCTGTACCGGCTTTTATATTGTTTAAGGGGGCGGAGCTAAATATTTGTGACAGGTAGGGACCTGAGTCGCGGTTAAGATTGTTAGGTTGTGGGCGGGCTAAGTACATTCGATCTTCTATATATTTTTTTGTTATGTTGGTACACATGTCCCTACCATATGTTTACAGTTTCAGCCGGTTTGCACGTTTACTGTTTTTCTGTGTGACAGAAGCGTTAAATGTGTGTGCTCTGCGATTTTCTGCTGTCAAAAAAAAAAATAGAACAAAGATTTTGCATAAAATTTTATATAAAAAATGGAATACAGTGCTGCAAAATGACCGAGAAGACGCCGATGACGAACCTCGCTCTGAACGCCCCAGTAACTGATGAAAGAGTTGAAGAAATGAAACAAATGATGTTGCGATTTTTTCAAAAGTTTTTGACAGAAAACTTGTAGCAGCAACATTTGTTCCCAAACTGCTTAATTTTGAACAAAAGGAGCATCGCTCAAGTGTGGGTTACATGAATGTTCCATTTAATGTAACTTAGTTCTGGTTAATAAATAAATAAATAAAATTAATGGAAATAACAAATCAACAGCATAATCTTCCAGTTCTCTCTTTCAGGATTAGTTCTAAAAAAAGTTCATTCCTAAGGTCTTATTTGGAGGCAGAACAGTTACCTCTTCTTCCAAAGAATGCTCGCTTTCATCCCAATGAGGTAGCCTTAAGATTGGATGATGGAAACTTCATCGATCTTTTTCTCCATCGTTAGTCAACCTTGAGCCATTGATAGTGAAAAGATGTGAAAGAAATGCATTTCCAAAGATAAATTGGTTAAGGCTTTCGCGGCCCGTTGATAAGCTATTATCTTGGTTCGGGTTTAAAGGCCGTCGTCGATTGGAATTACTTCCTAACGTTTCGCTAGCACGAGTGGCGAGCTTCTTCAGAGGTCCTTCCATCTCCGATGTTGGACGTAGACTGACGATTTCTCCTGCGCAGGTTGTATTTATGCCGATTGGTGGTGGGCGGGGCTTGTTCCGCTTCGGTTGGTCTCGGGATATCGATCGGTACTGCTCGGGCGTTCCTAAGGATCGGGTTCCAGATTTGGTTGAGTCTAAGGGTCTCCTCCTTTCGGTTGAAATTGTGTGGGTGTTTTTGTATCTCAATGGCTTCCCTGAGCAAGTTAGACTACGTCTTACCAACCGGCTCATCAAGTCATCATCACTGTCAGAAGAAATCAAGAAGCGCATTGTGAGGACGGAGACTATTCCACCAAGGCTCTATGGACTACCTAAGATACACAAAGTAGATGTCCCGTTAAGACCAATAGTTAGCGCACCCGGATCACCAACGTATTACTTGGCTAAACACTGGGCATCGCTGCTCCAACCACACGTAGGACACGGCACCAGTTACATCAAGGACTCCACCGACTTCGTGCGCAAGATTCAAGACATCAATATTGAACAAAACGACATCCTTGTGAGCTTCGACGTCGTCTCACTGTTTACCAAAGTACCTCTGAAGAGTTGCTTGGACCTGGTGAACAGGATATTTCCTGTCGATATTTGCAAACTTTTTGAAGTCTGTCTGACCGGTAGCTATTTCGTGTGGAAGGGAAACTTCTACGAACAGGTGGACGGAGTGGCAATGGGAAGCCCACTAAGCCCGGTTATAGCCAACTTATTTATGGAACACTTTGAGGAAAAAGCGATCGAGACCTCAGAGTACAAGCCAGCAACATGGTTCCGGTACGTGGATGACACCTTCGTGATTTGGAAACATGGTATGGACAAGCTCAACAACTTTCTGCGGCATCTCAACAGTCAGCATCCCAGCATCCAGTTTACTATGGAGACTGAAAATGACCAACAACTTGCATTCTTGGACGTACTAGTGAGGAAGCGAGGTAAGAAGCTGGGCCACACAGTTTACAGAAAACCAACCCATACGGACAGATACCTGCATGCTCTATCCAACCATCACCCAAGTCAAAAGTATGGGGTTATCAGAACCCTGACAGAACGAGCCCGAAGGATTTGCGAACCGGAGAGCCTCCAGATGGAACTTGAACACCTAAAAACTGCGTTCGAGGCAAATGGCTACAGCAAGAGGGAGATCGAGAGATCAATGAACTCAAGATCATCAAGATCACGGGATACCGAACAACGACCCCCCACCTCCCACGCATATCTGCCGTATATTCCGAGTGTCACCGACAGGATTGGCAGAGTATTGAAAAGACACGACATCAAAACAATCTTTAAGCCTACAAAGAAGATCCAGCAGACCATCAGGTCAGCGAAGGACAAGAGGGGCTCACTTTCAGCTGCAGGAGTCTACCGCATTCCGTGTTCATGCGGAAAGGTCTACATCGGGACTACCAAGAGATCAATGGGAACGAGACTTAAGGAGCATAAAGCAAGCTGCAGGCTAGGACATACAGAGAAGTCTGCAGTAGCTGAACACGCACTGGGCAGCGGGGAACACAGGATACACTTCGAGAGCTGTAAATTACTAGCATCGG